AACTCCAAGTACTAGGAGTATCATCCTTTGAAAACTATTTACAATAAAAGAAAAATGTTCAAGTTAATATGTCCTAGAGGAATGATCTATGATATATGTAATATCCTTAGGAGGGAAATAACACTAAAATGTTGAATAATTATGTTAATGAGGAGATTTTAGTCTTAACTTTGTCTTTCAACTTTTCTGGTTGCATCTCTTATAAACAGCATCTAGGTGGGTTATTTTTAATAATCTGATATTCACCATGTTTTGTTTTTTTCTTAATCTTCGCCCAAGGATATTTTTTCCATTGCTTTTCAGAGAGAGTGGAGGAGAGGGGGGGAGAGAGAGAAACATCCAAATGAAAGAGACACATGGATGGTTGCCTCCTGCATGCACCCCGACTGGAGCTGAGGCAACCAAGGTATGTGTCCTTGACCGGAATTGAACGGGACACCCTTCAGTCCTTGGGCCAACACTCTAACCATGGAGCCAAACAAACCGGCTAGGGCTCACTGTCTTTTAGTTGAAACATTTAATCATTTATATTCATTTAATTACTTATATTTGGGGTTAAAAACTCTCATTTTGTCTATTTGTCTCGAATGTTTTATATTTAATTTTTCTCTTTCTTGCTTGCCTTTTAATCATTCCTTTCTGGTAGTTTGGGAGTTTTATTCCATTTTTATTCTTTTAATGGTTACCCTAGAAGTTATAACAGGCATGTTTAATGTATCAAAGTTTAATTTCATCAGTACCTTTACACTTCCCGGAGAGATAACACAAGGAATCTAGAAAGCCACCTCCAGCCCTGACCAGTGTGGTTCATTTGATTGAGCAACATCCTATGCATCAAGAGGTCACCGGTTTGATTCCAAGTCAGGGCACATGCCCACGTTGCCTGCTCAATCCCCAGTACGGGGCCTGCAGGAGGCAGCCAATCAGATCCATGTTTCTCTCATCGATGTTGCACTCTTCCTTTCCCTTTCTCTCTTTAAAATCAATCAAAAACAGCCCTAGCCAGTTTGACTTAGTGTTTAGAGTGTTGGCTCTCGGACTGGAAGGTCCAGGTTCAATCCCTGGTCCCAGCAGGCAGCCAAACGGGAGGCAACGAAGGATGTGTCTCTCTCACACTAATGTTTCTCTCTCTCCCCCACTGCCCCTGTCTCTCCCTCTCTCCTTTCCACTCTCTCTGAAAAGCAATGGAAAAAAATATCCTCAGGTGAGGATTAAAAATAAATAAAATCAATAAAACCAAATTATAGAAAGAAAACCAACTCCATTTAACTTCTTGTTATATGCTCTTATTACCATGTATTTTAGTTGTGTTTTTAGAAACCAAGTTTCATATAACTGATGTTTATTTACCACTTTCTTTGCTCTTCGTTCCTTGTGGAATCTCTGCCTTTCCACCTGGGATCATTTCCCTTTTGTCTGAAGTTTAAGTTTTAAGATAGGAGTCAGCAATCTACAGTCCACAGGCCAAATCTAGCCTACTGCCTATTTTTGTGAATCATTTCATTGGAATACTGCCAGGCTCATTCATTTACTATTGTCTGTGGTTTCTTTTGCTCTACAATGGCAGAGTTGAGTGATTGTGACAGATATCATACCATATGGTTTGCAAGACTAAAATATTTACTACCTGGCTCTTTACAGAAGTTTGCCTGCCTTGCTTGTTTGCTTTTGTGCTTGCCTGTGAGAAACTCTCCCATTTTTGTTGATCTGAAAAGACCTTTATTTTGCCTTTCTTAATTCCAGATGAGTATTTTTATTGGGTATAGAATTCTCGGCTGGAAGTTACTTTTTTTGCCATAGATTCTCTCTCTCCTGCTGCCTTTTATCTTTCATTCCCCCTAAGAAACCAGCTTTTGGTCTGCCACTCCTTTGAAGATAGTGTGCTGCTTTCCAATTTTGTACTTTTTGCCTTTAGTTTTCTGCAATTTACTGTAATGTATCTGGGTGTGGATTTATTTTTACTTACTGCACTTGAAATTCATTGGGCTTTTAGAATCTGTGAACTGATGTCCCTTCAGCTGTATCTAGTCTGCTGTTAAATTCATCAATTGAATTCTTTGTTTCAATTGTAGAATTTTTACTAGGTTCTTTTCAGTTCTGCTATGTTATTTTTTAGAGTTCCTGGTCCCTTGATGAAATTCCCAAACTTCGCTCTTCTTTGACCCCAGTGAACATAATTGTTTTGTAATCTGAGTTGCTAATTGAATATCTTAAGTTTTTTGTGGTTGTTTCTGTTGTCTGTTGTTTCTATTCGTTTTTACTTATAAGGTCTTGTTCTCTTACGTGTCTGATTATCTTTGTATGTTGAACATTTGAAAAGAGATGTATAGGAATTATATATGTATATAATTTATACAAGCTAGAAACTAGGTAATTAAAAATTAGGATATAAGTAATACTTATTTTGCTAGGCATCCAGAGCAGATAATTCTTCATATTACTGTAATTTATAAACTATAGTAAATAATTAAAGGCTATATAGTAATATAATATTGTAGTTCTTCTTGGGCATCAGTACATACCTACTATTAAATTTTATAAACATTGTTCCTGTTAATTTAAATGTAGACTTAAAAATTCTGTGTAAATGATGTATCTTTTAGTTGGGTGAGTTAAAAACTTAGACACAGATTGACTTACCTTTAGTTCAAAACTAGATTCCCTCCACACACACACACATAATCCTAGTATGGGAACCTTTTATTCTTATCATCAGGTTTGTATTTGTATCCCTAACACTTACTCAGACAAGGGAGAAGCAAAGTACTAATAACTTGGTACCTTATATAGCCAGAAACAGGAGTAGTCAAAATGTATAAACATCTGAAGTATATGGAGAGGAGAAACAGCAAAACCCGAACTGAGAGCTAGTCTATTAAAGACAGAGGAATTAAAAGCAGTAAGTATACACAAACCTGTTGCTTGAAAAATATCACTTTCCATTTTTAAGAGTGAAAGGATACCTAGGCGAGTGTCAAACACATAGAAAGCATTCAGAAATGCTTGCTGAAGGAAGAAGAGAAAGTGAAATTAACCTGAGACCTGAAGAATAAGCAGGAATTCGCTAGAGAAGGGGGTATGTGGAGGGGAAAGAGTTCCATGGATAAGGAACAGCGAAGTGCTGAAAGACCATGGTTGGCCCCTAGAGCTGAATTTCAGTTTAGCGAAACTGTGGAACAAAAGGAGAGAGATGAGCCTGAGAGATTTGGCAAGGGCCAGATCCTGGAGGCCCTTGTTAATGTTTAACTTTGAAGGGTTGTAAACCAGAGAATGGTAAATGGGATTGACTTGAGGAGAGCAATCTGGAGTTAGAGAGACCAATTAGGGAGGGCAGTGGTCCAGGGAAGAGATGCAGGAAGCCAACTCAAAAGAGCACATACTATATGACTGTATGTGGATGAAATACTTGAACAGGCCAAACTAACCTATAGTGACAGCAAGCAAGTCAGTGGTTACCTGGGGTCAGGTGTGGAGAAGGGGGGTTGACTGCCAAGGGGTACAAGAGAACTTTTGGGGACAGTGAAAACGTTCTGTAGCTTTATTGGGGTGGTTATTACACAGGTGCATTCACTGACCTGTACACTTAAAATGAGTATAATTATTATATCTAAATTATACCTCAATACAAGTTAGAAGTTTAAAAACGTGAGAATGGAAATAACTCATTCAATTCACTGAATACATTCATTTGTGAAGAGGAACAAGAGAAGGTAGCTGAAAGGCATTTGAGTTAGAGGCCAAGTTGTTTTTAGATGGAAGCACCTTGAGTTATGCTAAATATACGCTAAATGCTAATAGAATTCAGTGAGAGGAAGCAGTTGAAGGTAAAGGAGAAAAGATAAGAGCAAAGTCAAAGAATGTGATAAAGTAGGTACCACATCAGAAACGAGGGTAGTAAGCTAACACAGTGGGCAACACCTCAGGATTCCCTAGTTCTGGGCCCTTCTCAGTCTAGAAAGATTATCACCAACACAGTTCATGTTCCAGAATCAATTCCTTCTAACACTGAGTTCAGTTAATTCTTGATAAGAGGTACAGGTTGATTACATTCGGACAGAAATGGCCTGAATTTTTTTTTTTAAATATATCTTTATTGATTTCAGAGAGAGGAAGGGAGAGGGAGAGAGGTAGAAACATCAATGATGAGAGTCACTGATCGACTGCCTCCCGCATGCCCCTCACTGGGGGACCAAGCCCGCAACTTGGGCATGTGCCCTGACGGGGAATTGAATTGCGATCTCCTGGGTCCTAGGTCAACACTCAACCGCTGAGCCACGCCCTGCTGGGCCTGAGTGAATTTTTTAAACTATAATAACCTGTCTATACTCCAGAAGACTGGTGGCAATAGGGCTTAGAGAAGGGTTCACAATGAAAGAGTGATTGTAGTAAAAAGATGAAAATAAGATTTTCTTTTTGCCAGACACTCCTTTGTACTGTGCAAATGTTTTATGTAAACATTATTCTCATTTATTACTACTACCTTGTTGGTATTTGTTTTACAGAAGGAACCAGCTCAAGTCAACTAACCTGCCCAAGGTTACATAGCTGGTAAATTATAAAGGTGGGATGAAAACCTAGGTCTAGATGAGTTCAAACCCATAATAAATATTTCTTACCTTGTTAGGCAGTTCTGCCTCAATCTTCTTTCTATAAAATGTTATTTATTGTATATATAATAGTGTAATAACAAAAGAAATCAAAACATCAACCTATCCTAATCCTTTAGCTTCCTTCTTTTAGCAAAACATCTTTAAGTAATTATACCCATGCCATGAAACAAAGTAGGGGAAAGAAAAGTATGTTAAACATTTCTAGTTTTTGATCTGTTCGATTGAATAAATGCTAGATGGGGCAATGCTTTGTAAAGAGTTCCGTTCAGACTGTACTCCTTGTAGTGAGCAGAACTGAGCCATGCATTCAAAATACCGACTGAATAATGCTATGTGTAAGTCACTGTGGCAGGTGCTTTTGAGATGACAAAAATGAATGACACATGTTCCTTAGTCTTAAGGACTTTACAGACCAGGGAAAAATAGGTTATAAGACATGTCTACAATTACGTAATATCAGAAGAAACTGACATATACCACAAAGGGCACAGAAAAAGTGCTGTTGGTAGTTCACAGGAAGAATAATTTTTTTATTTGAGGAATTCAGGATGTTAGAAGCAAGGGGGCCATTTAGGAGACTAGTTTAATAGTTCAACCAAAAGATTATCAGTGCTTGAACTAGGATGGAGGCAGTGAAGATTGAGGGGGAGAAGGAAGTTAGAGCCTTAAAGCAGCAGAAATTGCTGATCAGATGAGGAGAGGAATGCAGAATGCAGAGGGAGAGAGAAGTCAGTATATTCCTTCTCTCTCTGAGGCCTATAGCTGAGTGGTGGCCATGTTCTTATACCCAAGGGTCACCTCTGTCAGGCCTAGGGAAGTAATAGAGTCGGTAAAGTTGGTTTACAGTTGTGAGTATGGGAAACAGTTTATTTTTGTATTTACTTATTATTGTATCATTTATTATTATTCACCTACTTTTGCCCACCCCATAATAGCACCACACTGTAGTTAGCCCATCCTGTTGACCTTAATTCAGGCCACGACTTTATATATCTCTTCATAACCTGTCCTCAGTAACCCTATTTGAGTGTGCCTTCTGTTTCCTGCCAGGATGTTAACACATGATATTTGTATATTTTAAATAAAGTATATATGCATAATTGTATGTCTGTATATGCATAAGAAATATCTAGAAAGATGCACACCAAACTGTTAGTAATAGTTACCACCTGGGAATGGGAAAGGGAGAAGGGAGGGACAAAGGAAGAGGGCTCTTATTTTATGTCTATACCATTTGAATTCCTTAACAATAGGCTTGCATTATTTTAAAATAAAAATACTAATAATTTTTAAAATAAATCCAGTACATCAATCAGCTTAGCGTAAGAAGTTCAATAAATTCACTGAGAGTAAAGATGAAACCTCCATAAGAAACACTTGGCCAACAAAATTACAGAGAAAACCCCTAAACTTTAAATAAAATTTAATGGTAAATACATAGTGATAGAAATAATTAAATTCTTGTCTGAAGGCAGCATCCAAGGAATCTCTCCATTTTCATGGCTCCCAGCCCTTCCCTCCAGGCTGATGGGGCAACTTGAGACCCACCAAGCCAGCTGACTCCTCCACTGAGCGCTCACCCTTGCCATGAAATTCCTGATGAAGGGCCACATGTTCACGGATGCTGCGGAGAAGGCAGAGATAGGTAGCAGCCTGGAAATGAAGCTCATGTTGGGCTCTGCACAGCTTCTCACTGGTGACCTAGAGAAGTAGAAAAGTCAGATACTCTATCAACAGCCCAGCTAAAGACCACAGAGTAAGATTTAATAAACATTCTCTAGAAGGAAAGAAAATTGCACAGAGGAAATAAAAATATGTATTTGTGTATACTTAATACATAGAGGAACTCTGTAATTGTTGATGCTTAGGAAAGCTGACCTCCACTTAACTGAAGAGTTTTACACCAGGTAGCTTAGTTGGTTAGAGTGTCATCCCGATATGCCCAGGTTGCAGTTCAATCCCCAGTCAGGACACATACAAGAAGCAACCAATGAATGCATAAGTAAATGGAACAACAAGTCAATGTTTTTTTTCCCTCTTCTCCCCCTTCTCTCTCTCTAAAATCAATAAAAAACTTTTTAAAAGGTGGGGGAGCCCGGCCGGGTGTGGCTCAGCGGTTGAGTGTTGGCCTAGGATCCAGGAGATTGGGGTTTGATTCCCAGTCAGGGCACATGCCCAGGTTGCAGGCTCGCAGCCCATCAATGACTCTCTCATCATTGAAGTTTCTCTCTCCCTCTCCTTTCCTCTCTCTGAAATCAATAAAGATATATTTAAAAAATAAAAAATAAAAGGTGGGGGAGCCCCGCTGGCATGGCTCAGCGGTTGAGCACCAACTAATGATCCAGATCCTGGTTCAGTTCCCAATCAGGGCATGTGTCCTGGTTGTGGGCTGGATCCCCAGTAGGGGGTGTGCAGGAGGCAGCCAATCTATGACTCATCATTGATATTTCTGTCTCTTTTCCTCTCTCTGAAATCAATAAAGATATATTAAAAATAAAAAATAAATTTTTAAAAAGGTGGGGGAAAAATGAGTTTTACAAAGTTTCACTGAGGTGTTTCATCGAGTGACCGCACATTTTAATACTGGGAGAAAGTCATCTAGTTTCAACTCTCTCATTTTACAAATGAGGAAACTAAAGCCCAGAGAGGCTAGCTGGTTGGTTAATGGCAGAGGTGGGGAACTATAATCAGGTCACTGGTCATTAATGTCACCTTAGAAATATAATGTAGAACTTTCTCCCCTTCAAACAAATGAAGGGCTGCTTATGTGACTGTGCGCTTTGGTTAATTTGGCATGTGCCTTTCATTTCAATGAAAATTTAAAACTTATTTTGTCTGTAAAATAATAGTTTTGTCCTCAACAGTAACAAAATGAAAGTTTTACATATAAAAGATACATATATTCATATTAAGTCCTCAATGACTCTAAACCCTGTTTTTTCTTCATCAGAATTTCCAGATGAAGGGAGTTAGTCCACTGTCCTTCACTTGACTAGTTTTGTGTTCTGAGGTTGTGAGAAAGGGGCAGGAAGGTTGAGATGGGAGATGCGAGCATAGCCTCAAATGACTTGAGTCCTCTCCAGTGTGGATTAATCTTTGGCTCCACTGCCTACAGAATCCCCATTCTTTATTTAAATATCTAGGGTTGGAATCTGAAAACTATAGAGTGTGGTTTAAGATGTGCAGATCACATATGTGAAAATGCCACTCATAAGCTGCTCAAAAATAGAATTCATCTGCTTAATCAACTTAATTTTTTTAAATTTTTATTTTAGAGAGGGAGGAAGAGAAACATCGATGTGAGACGGGTTGAATCCTAAAAACACCAGAAGGGGAACTGAACCCGCCACCTAGGTATGTGTCCTGACTGGGAGTCCAACCCACAATCCTTCCTTGCACAGCCGACACACTAACCACTGAACCACACCGGCCAAGGATGAGCACTTATTTATTCTAAGTGCTTCATCACATGGATGATTCTCAGGCAGATTGTAAACTTCTTTTAAGACAAGACCCATGTGCATCTCATTTGTTTTTAGCCAAGTTCCTAGAAATCCCTAATATTGTGGCCTTTTAAAAATTAGCTGAATTTTAGTTCTAACATTTTACATTCTAACTTCCATGGCTCAGAAATTCAATATTTAGGTTAATGGTCTCCCCTTTCCCACACTGTTCAAAGGACAGTAAGTTTCCTTCCATAGAGCCTAAACTGACTCTCCAATTTATTCTGAGACCGGTTGCAACCTCTCTCCAAGCTAGACCCACAACTTCAAAGGTGGTAAATTAATGGAAGACTCTTATTTGGGAACTAGGTAACCTAGATTTTAGTTGTTCTTACACATGTCGTTGAAAGGGTCACTGTCCTGAGTCTCATTTGAAAAATGAAACTACCTTCCATTGCTCTTGCCTGAGGGGCATGTGGAGTGTGGATTTCACAAAGGAATCTGTCAAGTATGTTTTCCCATATGTTCATATTTATCAGCTACAGAAGAAAAAAATGTATCTGGTCATATATCACGTTAATGTCATAAATGACAGTACTACCTCATTACAAGTTTCTAGTTCTGCTCTACAAGGCACCATTTGCTTAAATGGTGTAGGGGATACAACTTAAGTAAAACAGTTTCTGCTCTTCAGGAAGCTCCCAATATTCCATATCCTGCTACAGTTTTCTTTTCTGCCTCAAAAACTGTTTCTGAGAGTAGCTCTATTAGGGACAGATGCTGTGGCTAGTGACCCTACAACTCTCCGCCGTGTACACCTTTTCTTTCCCCCTGTATTTCATCTCACTTTCCTCGGACTGTCCCCTCCGATCGTGCAAAAGGCAGCCAATGACATCCTCGTGGACGGCTCCACCCCGGGAGACTTTGCTCTCCCGCCCTCTGGCCTGTCCGGGGTCAGTGCCTGGGTGAGGGCACGGACCTGCGCTTAGGGAGGGCCTGGGTCGGGGAGGGGGTGGGGGGATCGGCGGGG